TTAAAAAAATTCTCAAAATTTCAAAGTAAACGCGTTTTCCATTTTTATGTTTTCGGAAACTGTTTTTCAGAATGGCAAAAAGAACGCATTTTCAGAAATTTCAAAACAGACACTCAAAACACAAAACACAAAACAAATTCAAAACACAAAACACAAAACTGAAACACGAAGAGAACGGCCCCTAATTCATTATAAACCTTTTGATTAAGTTCTTGAAAATCATTTCAATTTCTGAACTCTTTTGATCATCTCTCAGAAATGAACTCTCTCTCACATAATCTGCTAGCACCTGTTTTAGGACTTCTATCGCTGCTGCTGCTATATTATCTATGGAGCAGAAAAAGCAAGGGTAAGGGCATATCACCCCCTGAACCGGTAGGTTCTTGGCCTCTTATAGGCCACCTGCATCTCCTAGGTGGTCAAATCCCGGCGGTTCGGGTTTTAGCAGCGTTGGCCGATAAATATGGTCCCGTATTTAAAATTCGTCTCGGGATGCACCCTGCAATTGTAGTGAGCAACTGGGAATCTGTTAAAGAGTGCTTCACCACTAATGACAAGGTTCTCAGTAATAGGCCGAGTTCTAATGCAGGAAAATACCTTGGTCACAATTATGCTGCCTTTGGTGCTACTCATGGCCCGTATTGGCGTGAGGTGAGAAAGTTAGTGCAGCTACAAGTTCTGTCGAGTAGGAGACTAGAGGCATTAAAACATTTTCGAAAATTGGAGATAGAGACTAGTATCAAAGAGTTGTATAGGGAAATTGATAGGGATCAAGGACTACTTGATTCAATCGAATACCAAGAATTTGATAGACCATCAAAGGAGGTAGCGATGAGTCAGTGGTTTGAACACTTGAGCTTGAATATAATTGTGAGAATGATTGCTGGAAAACGATACGCAGGAACTGAAGAGGGTCGATCATTCAGAAAAGTCATCGAGGAGTTTATGCGTCTATTTGGGCAGTTTGATCTCTCAGATGCGGTTCCATTGCCACTTTTAAGCTGGATAGACTTTCAGGGGCATATTAAGTCCATGAAGAGAATTTCAAAGGAATTGAGTGTTATTACTGAAAGCTGGATTGATGAACATGTTAATAAAAATCTGAAGGGAGAGTCGGGGAATGAACAAGATTTCATAGATGTAATGCTTTCTGCTATTGATGATAAATTTACAAAGTACGGTCATTCGAAGGAAACTATAATCAAGGCTACAATAGTGGTATGCTACTTCTCTTCAATATAAAGCCATTCATTGGTTTATCGATAAAAAACAGAGGCATGTTTAGTAAGTAGATCAGTACTCGATGATTAATTTTATCTTATTTCTGATTCTTAATGCTGCTTACATTATGAAACGAGCCACCAAAACTAGAAATGTCTAGTTTATACATCTCTAAACTTAAAAGTCAATATCTCTTTACGTATTGTGGATTTGCTTAAGTTGGTAAAATCCGAAAACTATGCATCGGTTTATCTTAAAACAATCAGGGCATGTTTGGGTAGACAGTCCAGTACTGATTACTGAACATCAAGATAATTTTTTTTTTTTTTTACTTTCTTCTGTTTCTCAACACTAGAGTTGATCTCCTTCCCACAGTGGGAAGTATAACAATTGCCCACCACATCGCGGTCAACTGTATTTTTTTTATTTTTCAAAAAAAAAAAAAAGATTTGGCACGTGGCAACATTAGCATGTGGGCATTATATCTCGTGCACACTGTGGACAGGAGATCATTTCTATTCTCTACATTATCCTCTATTGTAAAGTTCATGTTACTAAACAAGACATCCTAAACTTTGTGCTGCAAAATCGACTCAAGTAGTTACGTCACATTTTGGACGAAGATCTACCTACAATGTTTTCTCTTCTAGTTTTATCTACAGTTTACAACTCCTCTAACACAAGGACTAAGAATACAGCTATAATCAAGTCCAAGTTACATTGAAAATCAAAATTGCTTTTGATATTTAAGATTGGCAAAAGAGAAAAAAGGAGAGTAAGCAGATCATGATTCCTTGCATTTTTTACTTCCATCAATGCATAAACATACGAGTCCAATAGATTGGAAGTATCTTAGTCTTGCTATGCATTTAAACCATTGGCCATGTATGTGCAGATCAAGTTCCTCCATAGACCTATCTATTTTAACATTTTTTCCTTATTGCAGAACATCATCTTAGCGGGTTCTGATACCACGTCTGTTCACTTGACATGGATCTTATCTCTACTAGTAAACAACAGGGAAGTAATGAAAAGAGCCCAAGATGAAATCGATATTAAAGTAGGTAAAGAGAGATGGGTAGACGAATCCGACATAAAAAACTTGGTCTACCTCCAGGCTATTGTCAAAGAGACGTTGAGGTTATTCCCACCAGGGCCCCTATCACTGCCTCATGAAGCCATGGAAGACTGTCATGTGGGAGGTTATTTCATCCCAAAAGGAACCCGGTTGATGGTGAATGTTTGGAAGTTACACCGTGATCCACGTATTTGGTCAGAGCCAGGGCCGGCCCTGTGGTGAGGCG